TAATCCCAGCACTTTTGGAGGTCGAGGTGTGCGGATGACGAGGTCAGGAGTTCTAGACCAGCTTGGCTGGTCTCTAAAACCCCGTCTCTACTAAAAATTATAAAATTAGCTGGGTGTGGTGGCAGGCATCTGTAATCCTAGCTACTTGGGAGGCTGAGGCAGGAGAATTGCTTGAACCCGCCAGGTGGGGGTTGCAGTGAGCTGAGATTGTGCTACTGAACTCCAGCCTGGGCAACAGAGCTAGACTCTATCTCAAAAAAAAAAAAAAAAAAAAAAAAAACAAACAAAAAAAAATTTGCATTTAAACTGGTAAGTTAGTAGTGAACAGAAATTATAGTTGTTTGCTTTTATACTTTCCTCATTTGACAGGCTCATCTTAACTGCCTTGGTGATTTTAAATGTTCTGTTGAGAAAGTTTGTGTTTTTTCTAGGCCATCATTAAACAGATTATTTTGTCTTTCACTGATTTATTATTAATATTTAACTCTACTCTCTAGGCTCTATACATAGTCTAGAATAGTCTATTTTTCATAGACTATCTCAAGCAAGTTGCAAAAACATAGATATTCTCTTTATTGGCCCTTTCAAAATTCTTCAAATTGGATTTGAAAGAGTAGATTCTGATTACAAATAGGTTGCATCAATATAGAAATACCTGGACGGGTTCACTTTCTCAGAATAATGAGGCAAATGTTATAAAATCACTTCTGCATTCTGCATTAATAAAATACTGATGATGAAATGGTTTTCCTCATTTTCTCTCTAGTTGTCTTTCATGATTTTTACAAAGTGAATTTATGAACAGTTCAGTGTAGCTTTTCGTCTTTAACGTATTAATGATTCTTCCAATGTTTTAATAATTTTGCATTTAAATATGGTCAGGATACATGATTGTTAATTACATTTCTTTATGATTTGTGTTATAGCAAAATATTCTCTATTGAGTTTTTGGTATAACATGGAAAACTTGTCTTCTGTGGTGAAAGTATATGTGCTGTTGAACAGCAAGAGAATTTATGGAAATTTAGAAGTTCTTTGATGAGGCCTAACTATGGAAATATTCTTTCTTTCTTTTCTTTTCTTTTTTTTTTTTTTAAGATGGAGTTTCGCTCTTGTTACCCAGGCTAGAGTGCAATGGCGCGATCTCAGCTCACCTCAACCTCCGTCTCCTGGGTTCAGGCAATTCTCCTGCCTCAGTCTCCTGAGTAGCTGGGATTACAGGCACGTACCACCATGCCCAGATAACTTTTATATCTTTAGTAGAGACGGGGTTTCACCATGTTGACCAGGATGGTCTTGATCTCTTGACCTCGTGATCCACCCGCCTCGGCCTCCCAAAGTGCTGGGATTACAGGCTTGAGCCACCGCTCCCGGCCCTATTATTCTTTTTTTCAATCCTGTCTCCCACTAAAATCATTAAAGCTCTCTGGGTCTTGAGACGTATGAATTCTTCACCTAGTGGGTAGGTACCTGTTAATAGAGGTTTACTAGACATGTTTTGATATCATAAAGGGGTGTAATTCTGGGTTTTGAGCTATGTGTCTTTCCTTTGCCTTTTAGATTTTTGTGATAGTGTCTTAGACTCACTCCAGTGTTTACTGTGGATATTTATGAGCTAGCAATTACTCATGAGACATCTGGGTTTCCATACGCTGTAAAGTCGAACAATTAAAAGCGCAAACATTGGATTCAGGATATGTGTGTTCAAATCTCATGTAATGGATCAAATGACCATTTAATGATGGTTGTCTGGAGTAGGTTACTTACCGTTTCCCTCTTCCCAGAGAGTCTGTTTCTTTATCTGTCAAATGAAGATAATAATGCCAACATTACAGATTTATTTGGAGAATTAAGAGATAATGTGATGTGCTTCACACTATGCTTAGTACGTAGTAGGCACTCAATAGAGGTAAAGATAACAAAATTATGATGAATATTATTTCAATGTTAGCAAAGAAAACATGCTATGAGCTCAAGGATTTAGGATATACTATGCCTGGCAGAGACCACTACCAAACTGTCCCAGAAAAGTAGTTGTTTTTTTCTTTTAGAAAGTCTCCAGGTCTTACAACCCAGATTTTGGAAGGATTGGGGAGAGAAAAGAGGTCAGATAACTTGTGTTTTTAATGCTTGGGCTTGCTGGATAGTTGAGTATCTGAAAAGTGAATATGGAAACTTGCCTCAGTTTACAAAAGTAGAATGTAAGAAGGGGAAAGAGAAATAGTGCCTCAAACAAACAATTAAAAGCAACAGTATACTATTTTTCAGGTATGGTATATAGACTACCCACATCTACCCAGAGGAGTGTTTTAATGCAGATTTCTAGGCCCAGGTCTTGACTTTCTGAATTATATTTTCAGTCATACTGAGGTTTGAAAATCTCCTGGCTGGCCGGGCACGGTGGCTCAAGCCTGTAATCTCAGCACTTTGGGAAGCCGAGGCGGGTGGATCACGAGGTCAAGAGATTGAGACCATCCTGGTCAACATGGTGAAACCCCGTCTCTACTAAAAAAACACACACACACAAAAAAATTAGCTAGGCATGGCGGCGCGTGCCTGTAATCCCAGCTACACAGGAGGCTGAGGCAGGAGAATTGCCTGAGCCTAGGAGACAGAGGTTGCGGTGAGCCGAGATCGCACCATTGCACTCCAGCCTGGGTAATAAGAGCAAAACTCCGTCTCAAAAAAAAAGAAAATCTCCTGGCATAGAATCTACAAAGAACATAAACAAATTTACAAGAAAAACAAACAAACAAAAAAATACATCAAAATGTGGGCAAAGGATATGAAAAGGCACTTCTCAAAAGAAGACATTTATGCAGCCAACAAACATGAAAGAAAGTTCATCATCACTGGTCATTAGAGAAATGCAAATGAAAACCACATTGAGATACCATCTCATGCCAGTTAGAATGTTGATTATTGAAATATCAGGAGACAACAGATGCTAGAGAGGATATGGAGAAATAGGAACACTTTTATACTGTTGGTGGGAGTTTAAAGTAGTTCAACCGTTGTAGAAGACAGTGTGGCAATTCCTCAAGGATCTAGAAATAGAAATGGCATTTGACAATCCCATTACTGGTTGTATACCCAAAGAATTATAAATCATTCTATTTAAAGACACATGCACACGTTGTGTTTATTGCAGCACTGTTCACACTAGCAAAGACTTGGAACCAACCCAGCTGCCCATCAGTGATAGACTGGATAAAGAAAATGTATGTGGCATATATACACTGTGGAATATTATTCAGCCATAAAAAAGGATAAGTTCATGTCCTTTGTGGGGACATGGATAAAGCTGGAAACCATCATTCTTAGTAAACTAACACAAGAACAGAAAACCAAACACCACATGTTCTCACTCATAAGTGGGTGTTGAACAATGAGAACACATGGACACAGGGAGGGGAACATCACACACCAGGGCCTGTCATGGGGTGGGGGTTTAAGGGAGGAAGAGCATTAGGAGAAATACCTAATGTAGATGACAGAGTGATGGGTGCAGCAAACCACCGTAGTACATGTATACCTGTGTAGCAAACCTGCACGTTCTGCACATGTACCCCAGAACTTAAAGTATATAATAATAAAAAGAAAGAAAATCTCCTGGTATAACAAAATAAGGTTGATATGAGTTCAAATTCTTATTTTTCCACATACTAACTGTATTCATGGCTCCTGTCCTTCTTACGTTTCACTCCAACTCTGCTTTCCACTCTATCCTTTTTTTCTCCTTGTTATTATATAACACAATCAATTAACTGTGCATATTCAATCAGATAATTGTGTAGCATGCCATCATTTGCTCTTAAACCATTGGAGTGCTGTCACTGGCTCCCCCTACTGAACCTGTACAGTTTTCTAGCTGACAGCTGTTTATAATTTTGTTACCTCTCACCCACATTCTCTGGTCCTGACATGACTTCCAGTTCTTCTCCCTAGTTCTTGCGTGGTCTGAGTTACTGCCCTGACCAATCTGATGCCCAGGGTTGTTTGTTTTTTTATAAGTTTACCCAATTTACAGCCCCAATATCAAACTTTAGGGTAAAAGTCTGATGCAGAACTTCAGTGTGTATAGTCTACAGACTAGAATCATCCAATACTTCTCTGTACCCCAGTGCTGATTGTGTCTATCTAATTTAATAGGCAAGAGCGCCACATGTGCTAGGTGTGGAAAAAATGGACAAGGAGTCTGCATTTAAGCAGAATCTCAAAAAATAAGCAATAACTGTATTTTCAGAGATGAAGAGAACATTCTTGAGAGAGGTAACAGTAAGAGGAAATACATGACTTAAGACTAGTAAATGACTCAGTGTTAGATTTTCTATAAACATTCCATTGTTTCTCACAGCCCAGTATGAGTAACACCTGCTTCAAAAATCTCAGAGGGTTACTGTTTAAAATGTTATTTATGGGTGCTCTAGACTTATTAAATTTGGATCCATGGGAATGCAACTCAACAGTGCATTTTGAGCAACAGGTGTGCTCTTACAAAACAAGAATATGTAGCTGAAGACTTGAGAAGACTAAGCCATGTCTTTCTAAAAGGGCTGAAAACTATATAGTTTAGAGAATGCTCACTTTCTCTAAAGAATGGTAGTGTTTGGAATTAGCCTCACGCTATGGAACCAATTACCATTTAAGTTATAATACACAGGATTCTAGAAGAAAGTTGTCTGATCTAAAGTCCAGTAAGTTTTGTTGTGTGTGTGTGAGAGGGAGGGGCAGAGGGAGAGTAAAAGACTGAGGGGTGGGGAGAGAGAGAGAGAGAGAGAGAGAGAGAGAGAGAGACAGACAGACAGACAGAATAGGATGACAGTGCAAGGAGGCCCTGATGTGGCTTCTAAGTGGCAGGGAACCTTCATTAAGAAAGCAGACACAGCCTAAAGACTTGAAACCATGGAAATCAGATAGATTCCAGTGAAGGATATGGTAGTGAAAGAAAAGTCAAATAATGTTATTGAATTAAATTCTTACTTGGATTTCCTGTGGAGGAGGTGGATCAAGATGGTGGAATAGAAGGCTCCACCACTCATCCCCTTCACATGAACACCAATTTAACAACTATCTGCATGCACCCACACACAACTAAAACCAGATGAGTACTCATAGTACCTGGTTTTAACATCATATGACTGAAAGATACATTGGAAAGGTAGAAAAAACAGTCTCGAATCACCAGTGTTATCCATAACCCCCTCCCCTAGCAGCAGCAGTTGCATGGTGCAGGGAGCTTCTCTGGTGCTAGGGGAGGGAGAACTCAGCAATTGTGAGATACTGAACGCAGTTTTGTCCTGTTAGAGCAGAAAGGAAAATCAGACCAAACTCAGCGGATGCCTGGCCACAGAAAGAGCATTTAAACTAGCCCTAGCCAAAAGGGAATTGCTGATACTAGCAGTCAGAATTTGAGCTCTCACAAACCTTGCCACAGATGGTTAAATTGCTCTGGGTCTCCAAGTAAACTTGAAAGGCAGTCTAGTCTATATGAGCTTCAACACTAAGGCAAATCCTAGGGCTGAACTGAGTCCAGATACAGTGGACTAAGGGGCACATGTTCTACTGAGACAATAGCTGGGATGGCTATGGGAATGCTGTTGTCACCCCTCCCTGAACCCTAGGTTGCACAACTCAGAGCTCCAAAAGAAACTCCTTCCTTCTGCTTGAGGAGAGGAGAGGAAAGAGTAGGGAGGACTTTGTCTTGCATCTTTGATACCAGCTCAGCCACAGCAGGATAGGGCACTGGTCATAGTTGTGAGGCCCCGGTTTCAGGTCATAGCTCCTGGATGACATTTCTAGACATACCCTGGGCCAGAAGGGAACCCACTCCTTGAAGGGAAGGACCCAATCTTGGGCGCATTCATTATTTGCTAACTAAAGAGGTCTTGGAGCCTTAATGACCAACAGTGATACCCAGGTACTACATCAAGGGCTTTGGTTGAGTCTCTGAGTGTAGGCTTAAGGTACCCACTTAGCTGGCCACAGGAGGGTAGATCAAAAGGCAAGCTTTTGGAGTCCCTGATTCCAGGACTTGACTCTTGGATGGTATTTCTGGACCTGCCCTGGGCCTGAGGGGAGCTCACTGCCCTGAAGGGTGAGTCCCAGGCCAGGCAACATTAACCACAAGCTGACTTAGGGGCCGTTGGGCCTTAAGGGAACATTGGCAGTAGTCTGATAGTACTCTCCATGGCCTATGGGTGGCAGTGTTCACAGGGTGAGGCACCTCTGCCTTTGGAAAGGGGAGTGAACAGTGGGAAGAATTACGTCTTTTGGTTTGAGTGCCAGTTCAGCCACAGTAAAGTAGAACACCAGGTGGACTGCTAAGATTTTTGACTCTATTCTCTGCCTCCTGCACAGCACTTTAGAATCCACCTGGGATGTGGGGGAACTCACCACACTGAAGAGAAGGACACAGGCCAGGCTGGTTATAATAGTAGAGCTCCAGGGCCTTGAGCAAACAGGCAGTAGCTGGGGAGTGGTTACAGCAGGTCTCAGGTGAGATCCAGTGCTATGCTGGCTTCAGGTCCGACCCAGTGCAGTCATAGTGGTCATTGCGGTGGTGGCCACAGGGGTACTTGTTTCAGTCTATTCCTACCTTTAGATACTGCAGGAGAGAGAGAGAGAGAGAGAGAGAGAGAGAGAGAGAGAGAGAGAGAGAGAGACTGAGACTCCATTGCTTGGGAGAATGTAAGGGAAGAGAACAAGAGTCTCTGCCTGGTAATCCAGAGAATTCTCCTGGAACTTGCCCAACAGCATCAAGGTGATACCTCTATGAGTCTGCAACAGCCGAAGCATTGCTGGACTTGGGATGCCTTCTAAAGCACCTGCAGCTTGGATCACAAACCCAATTTATTTTGAATAAAATAGGTTGGTACAAACAAGCTCAGACATTGAAGATCACAAGAAATACCTAACTCTTTAATGCCCAGATGCCAAAGAACATCTACTAGCATCAACACCATCCAGGGAAACATGACCTCATTAATGACTAAATAAGACACCAGGGACCAATCCTGGAGAAACAGAGAAATGTGAACTTTCACACAGACAATTCAAAATAGCTGTGACGAGGAAACTCAAAGAAATTCAAGATAACACTGAGAAGGAATTCAGAATTCTATCAGATAAATTTAACAAAGAGATCGAAACAATTAAAAAGAAACAAACAGATTCTGGAGCAGAAAATGCAATGAGAATACTGAGAAATAGATCAGAGTTTTTTAATAGTGGAATTAGACAGAAGAAAGAAGTAGTAGTTTTGAAAACAGACTGAAAATATACAGTCAGAGGAGACAAAAGAAAAAAGAATTAAAAAACAATGTAGCATGCATACAGAATCTAAAAAATGGTGTGAAAGGGCAAATCTAAAAGTTACTGGCTTTAAAGAGGAGGTAGAGAAAGAGATAGGAGTAGAAAGTTCATATAAAGGAAAAATGACAGAGAACTTCCAAAGCAGAGAAAGACATAAATATCTAATACGATAAGCTTGTAGAACACCGAGCAGATTTAACCCAAAGAAAACTTCCTCAAGGCATTTAATAATCAAACTTTCAAACATCAAGGATAAAGAAAGGATCCTAAAAGCAGCAAGAGAAAATAAATAACATGATATGGAGCTCCAATGCATCTGGCAGCAGACTATTCAGTGGAAACCTTACAGGCCAAGAGAGAGTGGCATGACATATTTAAAGTGCTGGAGGAAAACAACTTTAACCCAAGAATAGTACATCCAGCAAAAAATATCCTTCAAACTTGAAGGAGAAATATTTTCCCAGACAAATAAAAGCTGAGAGTTTTCATTAACACCAGACCTGTCCTACAAGAAATGCTAAAGGGAATATTTCGATGAGAACGAAAATAATAGTAATGAGCAAAAAGTAATCTCCTGAAAGTCCAAAATTCACTAGTAAGAGGAAATACACATAAAAGCACAGATTATTATAACACTGTAACTGTGGTGTATAACACTCTTATCCTAAGTAGAAGAACTAAACAATGTAACAGTCACAAACAATGACTACAATGTCTTTTGGAGACTTAGTACAGTAATATGTAAATAAAAACAGAAAGTTTAAAAGCAGGGGGATGGTGTTAAGGTGTAAAGTTTTCGTTAGTTTTATTTTGCGTGTTTGTTTCTTCATGCAAACGGTGTTATTATTAGCTTAAATCAATGGGTTATAAGATAGTATTTGCAAGCCTCATGGTAACCTCAAATCAAAAAGCATACAGTGAATACACAAAAAATAAAAAGCAACAAACTAAATCATATCACAAGAAAAAATCACCTTCACCAATGGAAGACAGGAACAAAAGAAAGAAGGAATTGAAGATCACAAAACAACCAGAAAAGAAATAATAAGGGGCCGGGCACAGTGGCTCACGCCTGTAATCCCAGCACTTTGGGAGGCTGAGGTGGGTGGATCACGAGGTTAGTTCAAGACCAACCTGGCCAAGATGATGAAACCCCATCTACTAAAAATACAAAAATTATCTGAGTGTGGTGGCAGGAGCCTGTAATCCCAGCTACTGGGGAGGCTGAGGCAGAGAATTGCTTGAACCCAGGAGGTGGAGATTGCAGTGAGCCGAGATCACACCACTACACTCCTGCCTGGGTGACAGAGTGAGACTGTGTCTCAAAAAACAAAACAAAACAAAACAAAACAAAAACAAATAACAAAATGGCAGGAGTAAGTCCTTACTTATCCATAGTAACATTTAATGTAAGTGGACTAAATTCTCTAATCAAAAGATATAAAGTGAATGAATGGACATATTTTATCTCTAAAGATACATATAACTTAATTGTTAAATTTTAAAATACAGCTAGTGCTCGACTTAGGACCATGGTCGGGACCGCGGAACGGTCGTAACACGATTTGGTCATAAGTTGAGTAGGCTATATGTACAGTTGAAATGGTGCACGCGGAGATGGTAGTGCTGCCAGAAGCTGGTCCGCACTGTCATATGCCCAGCTGGGCAACGTTTGCGCTGCCAGATGCGGAGCAGTCGTGGCTGCCGATTGTGGTCGTAAAGTCGAATGGTCGTAAGTTGCGTAGGTCGTAAGTCGATCAATACCTGCAACTGAGTATAACTGTACTGTTTGTAGCACAAGGTATAAATGCTTGTGGAGAGGCTTACCTGCTTCTCTATGATGTGGGGATGGATACCCGATTCTCTGTGATGTGATTATTAACATTGGATGCTTTTATCAAAACATCTAATGCACACCAAAAATATATATACCTACTATGTGCCCACAAAATTTAAAAATGAAAAAAAGTACATTCTTACTTGATTATATTTATACATTTATTTTATATGTATTCTTATATATTTACATTAATAATCATAATAATTTATGAGGGTAAGAACTCATGTCCCTCTTTTGGACATTAGGAAACTGAGGCCTTGAGGATTTTTTTTTTTTTTGAGATGGAGTTTCACTCTTGTTACCCAGGCTGGAGTGCAATGGCGCGATCTCGGCTCACAGCAACCTCTGCCTCCTGGGTTCAGGCAATTCTCCTGCCTCAACCTCCTGAATAGCTGGGATTACAGGCATGCACCACCATGCCCAGCTAATGTTTTGTATTTTTAGTAGAGATGGGGTTTCACCATGTTGACCAGGATGGTCTCGATCTCTTGACCTCGTGATCCACCCACCTCGGCCTCCCAAAGTGCTGGGATTACAGGCTTGAGGATTTAAGTAATTTGCTGATTACCTCATGTCTGATGTTAAATAGTCAAATGGTGAAACAAATTTGACTCAGAATTCAGTATTATTATTAATACACCACACTGTCTTCCTCACCTATTTAAATGACAATAATAATGACAACTGACATTAATTGAATGCTTACCACATGTCAGGCATTTTTAAAGCACTTTATTAATTTATTTAGTCATCTTTATTGAGTTCCTTTTTTCTACCAAAGTTGATTTCCTTTCTTGACTTCTAAAATCCTTGTATCCAACGTATGTCTCTTCCATGCAAGTCTTCACAATTCTTTAGGAAACACAGACCAAAAAATGTAGGAAAAAAAATCCAAGAAAAAGCATCGGAAGGGGGGACACTTATAAATTATGGGACCAGA